GGAGAACACCAAGGTGGTGATTGATCACGGGGCTGTACCCATTTTTGTCAAGCTTTTGGGTTCTCCAAGTGATGATGTCCGTGAGCAGGTAATGTGTAATGTTGACCAGTTCTTTTAAGGCATTATTTGGCTGCGAGAAATTTTGGTTAGGAAAGTGTTGTGTTTCCTAGACTCTTAATTTTGTCATTTTGAGAGGCAATTTGCTTCTAGGGAATCATGGAAAAATGTTTGGCATTTTAAATAAAGCAACGAAGGAAATTGATTATTCATTGAACTCCAAAAGCAGTGAGAAAAATTAGGGAGGTGAATGAATAAAGGAGGAGTCCATTGTCCTCTCTTGTGACTCGAGAAGTTCTAAGAGTGCGCGCACTGCTATCTCAAGTTTACGTTGTGGTTCTTAATTGTTGCTTGTTTCTATTTAGACAATGTCTTGTACACTTCCACAAAATCTACTTCTTTCTATCTGTGTTTCAACATATTTGGTATTGTTTTTGGTGGCTCAGCCTTTCTTTTGTATCATGGATGTTTATTTTCCTATTCTGTTCATGTTATGATTCATTTTCATTGTGGGCGAATGACTTTGCTGGTTGCACATAACATTAGACTTGGAGGATTTGCTGCTGGTAAAAGAATAATTTTATGGTCCTTAAGATTGTTGTTTAGTTTGTGTCAGAGTGGGAAAAGGCAATTGATGGTCCTTAAGTAATTGTTTTTAGTTCTTGTAGTTATGCTGTATTGATGAGGGAATGGTTAATAGGTAAAAACAGACAATAGGAATTGAGGTTGATAAATCATTCATTAGTGTCCTTTTGTGTTACTACCAACAAAATAGGATGCAAGGAAAAAAGTTTTAGCATTGTAGGGAGACTTACTAGAGTTGTCATGAATTTGTAGGCTGTATGGGCACTGGGAAATGTTGCAGGTGATTCTCCAAGGTGTCGTGACCTTGTCCTTGGGCATGGGGCTTTAATCCCTTTGCTGGCACAATTGAATGAGCATGCCAAGCTTTCAATGCTGCGAAATGCTACCTGGACATTGTCAAACTTCTGCCGGGGCAAACCACAACCTCCATTTGAGCAGGTTCACTGCGTAATTATGTTGTGCTTTTGTTCTCTTCTTTTTAGACTTGTTAAGTAGTTTTGATTTTAGTCCGAGAATATAATAACATGCTGTAAGATTCAATTGTCAGGTGAGGCCAGCCCTCCCCGCACTTCAGCGTCTTGTTCATTCAAATGATGAAGAAGTCCTTACTGATGCATGCTGGGCTCTCTCCTATCTCTCTGATGGTACAAATGACAAAATTCAAGCTGTGATTGAGGCAGGTGTCTGTCCAAGACTCGTGGAGCTACTTGTGTGAGTGTCCTTTTACACAATTTACATCTCACTTATCTTTGTTGTTTCTCATTAATTTCTGAAATTCATGGTTAAAACAAATTTTACTTGTCAGGCATCCATCTCCTTCTGTGCTTATTCCTGCACTTCGCACAGTTGGGAATATTGTTACAGGAGATGATTATCAGACTCAGGTACTATCTTCAGCTGGGCTCTTTATTTTGATGTTTTATTTATCTTTTGAAAGAAAATGATAACTTTGTGCAGGCATACTGAACCTTAGTACCTGTCATTTGGCCCTTTAATAGTTAAGTGTGTTTTACTTGTCTGTTCTTTATTGAAATGTTGTTTGCATAGTACAGCACTTGCCATCTTGCTTCCCTTACTGGTACCGATATCCTGTGACATCTGGTTGGATGAAGATTTAGTATGTTCTGTGTTTTCCCCCCTTTGGCTATTACTGCTATCATCCGCAGCATGATGAAATCTTGGAATGTATATAGAATGGAAAGTCTCTCATCTCCTATTATTACTGTTTTGAGTTGCTATCTTGACAGTAGGAAGAAGTTCATTGAGATTGATTGTTAAGTACTTTATTTCAGCTTCCTCCCACCCCCACCCAAAAATAGAGAGAGAGAGTTGAAGAAGGAGAAGTAAACAAGAATTATAATGTATTTGAGATTTTGACATTCAGTCTTTGTTTCAGTGTATAATTGACCACGGGGCACTCCCTTGTTTGCTGAGCTTATTGACTCATAATCATAAAAAGAGCATCAAGAAAGAAGCTTGCTGGACTATTTCCAATATTACTGCTGGAAATAAGGAGCAGATTCAGGTATAGTGTTTTCTTCTTAAATTTTCTTATGTATGATGTCCAGCTGATTTACTCTGTGATCCCCCACCCCGTCCCCCTCTGGAAAAAGGAAAACCTATCATTGTCTTTTGAATTATTTACTGTGTGGTGTTTTGGTTCCAATTAGGATGTTTATACACTTTGTATGCTGTTTTCCTTTTCACTTTACCTCAGCCTGTGTATTTGTATGTAATGACAGGCTGTGATTGAAGCTCAGTTAATTGGCCCTTTGGTCAATTTGCTTCAAACTGCTGAGTTTGACATAAAAAAAGAGGCTGCTTGGGCTATTTCAAATGCTACCTCTGGTGGAACTCACGAACAAATCAAGTATGTTTTGTTTCTCATCGCCTTCCGTGTTCAGTGCAGAATGCGTGGACGTGAATTTTATGTTTTGTGTCTTGTGTAGGTACTTGGTTTCTCAAGGCTGTATAAAGCCATTGTGTGATCTCCTTGTGTGCCCGGATCCAAGAATCATTGCTGTGTGTTTAGAAGGTCTTGAGAATATATTGAAGGTTGGGGAAGTAGAAAAAAGCCTTGGCCATAGTGGAGATGTTAATTTCTATGCCCAATTGATTGATGAAGCTGAAGGCTTGGAAAAGATTGAGCACTTGCAGAGCCATGACAATAATGAAATTTATGAAAAAGCTGTTAAAATACTAGAGACATACTGGTTGGAGGAGGAGGATGAAACATTGCCAGCTGGTGATGGAGGTCAGCCTGGATTCAACTTTGGAGGGAATGATATGCAACTTCCACCTGGTGGATTTAAATTTGGCTGAAGGTAAAGATGTAGATGTGCTGGTTCCAACTATTCCCTGCTTCGCTTCAGCTTATGACATATGCTAAAACATGAAGTTTCAATTCTGGCTGATAAATCAAAACAATTTTTGTCAATTTTATTGACTATGGGCACCTTGCCAGTTCAAGCATCAGTCTAACATGATTCTCAGTGTTGTGCAAGTACTACACAACTCTTTATCAACCATCTTGCTAACCAACTTATATTTGCAGGGCCATAAGTTGGTGGATACGTCCTCAGGTTGAGGACAGGGTGCTTGTTGGCGTCAAGTCAAGGTCGGGTCAGGGTCAGGGTCAGGGTCAGTACAGTCAGAGCACTTCACCGAGTCTGGTGGTCGTATATGGTTCAGTGTCGGTTGCCATAAGGAGGTGCCAAGGCAGGTCCTTTTATAATACGATGGCGAATAAGGAAGAGTTCATGCTCACTGGTTGATGGTATGTTGGGCTTGGTATTTCCCCTGGTGACGGATTGTTTGTGGGGGAAAATGAAGGGATTATAGACTCTTCAAATGAGGTTCTCGGAACGCGGGGTTTTGTGTTTTGTCGTTTCATACCTTATTATTGAAGTCCTTAGTCGCACAGAGTCGTCAATACTGTTCGGTAGCTGCGAGTAAAATATGTATTTATTAATTTACATGATTCGTGTTGTTTATTTGCGTATTGTATTCAAGGGAAGAGAAAGAAGAGAGTTCACTTGATTTGTCATTTGTCTATAGGTGTTGTCATACAACTTTTTCTATTGATATAGAGATACGGTTGGCCTTCTTGATCTAGACTGTACTACTGGCGTCTTCTGCCTAGGGATTGAACATTTTCTGTAAGGGCTTTGCATTGCTCGATATCCTCAGTATCATTGAATAGGTAATTTTTGTTTGGGGAAGCGGTGAGCTGACCAACCTTGTAATTCGAAACACGAAACTTCAAATGGAAAGAAATGTTAATTAAGGTTCTGGGCTTTGTCGACTGAGGTTGTTCTCGTTGCATAGAGGTTGATATGGTCATGGAGCTTGTCGGGCTGTAACAGTAGCCCAATTTGAGCTGTGCACTTCATAGGCCCGGTTCCTTGAGTGGATGAAAACTGGGAGGTTGTGCGGCTCTTGACTGCTCCTTACCTTGTGTGCCTACTAGCTGTGAGAACAACAACGGAACATGGGCCTTATAGGTTATGTCCAGTTCAAACTAATTTTATAATATTTGGCTTGACATTATACGGTTTTAGTGTCGTCGTGAGTTGTAGGTTTGCACTTAAATCGTACGAATTTACAATATAACTTGCAAGAATTAGATGAACACATTTGAAGTGGACATAATTCAACTCGTGAGGCTCTCTGATCCAAGAAGAAATATGGTTATGGAAAATTGGAAATTGTCACAGAGTGCTTAATGGTAAAATTTATGCTAGTGTCTTTCCTGCTTTTCGACCTTTACTTGAGTGGGGACTGTAATCTGATCGGGAAACAAGTGCATTTGAATGAGTTGAGAGTTGAGAGACAGCTTGGATAATGTCACCAAAAGATGTGGAATAAAATTGAATGCCCCGGATGCTGGGGTAAACTGTGGTCTCCACGATTTCGGAGAGTGACTTTAGACTAGACGTTACTCAAACATTTTGAAGCAGGAAACCCCCCCTCCCCCCAACACCTTCGTAGAAGTTACTTCCGATGAAAGGGCGGCGTATGGCGAAACTTCGAAGAAATGTAGTCTCGTACAGGATATGCAACAGATCCAAAAGAGTGAAAGCCCATCCGGAATTGCGCCAAATATGTACAGCAACTTCTATGTGATCCTGCCCAGAGGTACGATTAGTCATAATAGTCCGAAGGCTAAAGGACATTATTGTACTCAAATTGTCAAATTTGCTAATTTAATCACATCTTGCTACAATTAAATGAGGCTTAATAAAGGCAACTTGGTTTCTGAAAAGAAAGAAAATAAAATAAAATAACTTGTAAACAGTTGACAGTGAGACAAAAGTGAGTCAGTTATAGGTTGGACACTTTGCAGAATGCATCCATTTAAATCCCCAGCACCCACCCCCAACAATTTGTCATAATGAAAGCCAATAATGATGGCACCTATCAAGATCCACAGTGGAAGTCATCAAAATTAACTACCATCTAACAACAGTGCTTGGCGCACAAAATTTTTTCCATTCCAAGTTTGAGACTTGATACAGAAAAAATGAAAAGTGGATTCTCCTATAGCGATGATGATCAAAGCGAGTTGGGTAAATCAGTGAGTTGCTGGTGGAGAACAGCAGAAGAGTTCGACGAACATGGGCATTTCAGAGTTGAAATTTGCGACCTATCAAAGCTCACACCAAGACTCAAACTCCTTAGGGAAATGGAGAGGCTGGCTTTTGTTGCACCCGAGGGACTCGATGATCTTCGCCACAAGCTCATCACTTACGGGTCCGGAGACTTTTGGTTGCCGGTGGGAGGAATCAAGAAAGAAGATTTGGATATCCCACCTGTCATCACAATTCTTCTAGCAGGCCTAACGAGTTCTGGCAAAAGCTCTCTTGTGAATATGATGTACAGCGTTTTGGGTCGATCTGGCCTCATCCCTTTTGCTCAAACGTCAGGTAAGCATTTGATAAAACTTTTTAACTTAGTTAAGCATTTAGCATTTCTGTACCGTTTGAGGTTACTTTGATTTTGGACCATGCATTCAATGCGAAGGAACTCGAGGAACGTTAATTTGACGATGCATGTTTTTATAGATTATACTACTGGTTTGATTTATTAATGTGTCCTACGTCTTACATACGGGGCGGGACGCAGGTGGGTCTTCTCATCGCAGTAGAACAGTGTTTTTGGAAGAACATATCGTTGTGAGATCGGCCCGAAGTGGATTTTGTGTGTTTGATACGAGAGGGTTAGATTGCAATCAGATGAACGCGGGTTTAGAAGATGTTTCAACGTGGATGAGTCTCGGTGTTCGCCAAAATCAACCTTGTTGCAGACCTGGAGATGAAATGCTTGGCACTGCCACCGCTGTACGCGGATCATCCTTCAACACCAGTTCGAGGTACATGAACAGAAGAGTCAACTGTGCAATGGTTGTTGCTAACTTAGCAGAGATTCACAAGGCATTCAGGTCTGGTGATTTGAAGCCTGTGGAAGCCATAAGGGCCCTCTTCCAATATCCCTGTATTCAGAAATGCAGTTGAGTTTTTTCACCTCCTATGTTTGCTTCTCAAATTTGGATTGCAGTTTTCTACCAATCATCATTTTCCAATCATCATCAAATCACTACAGTAGTGTAATCATGAATGAACGAACGTTGTATGTCTTTACACCAAATGTTAAAAATTACACCAGTCGGATTGAATTGGATGGAACTCAACTGGACAGGTCCCTTGGCGATTAGAAGGTTCCAAAACATGTGGGTCATCATTCTCTTTTTTTTTTTTTTTTTTTTTTTTGGATTTTGGGGGAAAGGGTGTGGGGTGTTTCTTTGGCGAAAAGACTAAGGTGGGGTTCTAAGAATACAGGCTCTCAAGCTCAAGTCTCCCTTTTGGATATGCTTGGTAATTCATATCCATATCGTTGTGTAAAAATTCTTTTTACACTCATCAGTCAAGAAAAAAAAGAAATTCATGAGTAAATTCTTTTGGTTTTTTCCTTTACCTCTGTTGTGCAAAATTCACGAGTTAGTTGCTTGTGCTTTTTATAGGAAAACATAAAGTAAGTTACTTTTGTGTTATGTCGAAGTTCTGGGTATGATTCAACGTTGTATAATTTTTGGTGTGCAGACGAAAGTCCAATTTTGATACTCACACATGGTGACATGCTCAGCACTGAGGACAGGATCAACAGCAGGCTCAAAATATGCGAATATATGGGTATATCTGAAACTAGTGGTGCATACGACATAGCCTGCCTCACAGAGCAGGGGATTCTACCAGATGAAGCTGACGCGGTCACCGCATTCGCGTTAACTGAAGCAGTCTACAGGTCGCTGATGGTCAGCGACCGGTGTCATCTCCCCAAGAAGAGATTCAAGGACTGGATATGGCTTCTGGTGTCATGGATTATGGGTTGCATTGCTTCTTTCTTTCGTTTTCTTGCAAATATTTTCTCCAAATTCGATCACAAATACAAACCACCGAAACACCCTTGAATTGCTAAGCACGCTATTCATTTCGATTAGAGAGTCGATAGATACCCTTAAAAACTGAAACTAAGATGAGCTAGTCTGCACGAGTACTTGTTGTCGGTGATCGGAGTGAGTTCGCTACTGCGTCAATTTAAACAGCGAAAACGTGAAATCGGAGGCCGTCCACTTCCACTCTAAATTGACTTGACTGGCGGTGATCGATCATAACCCCGGGGTTGGATTTACTTCTGGAAAGGCCGAGCCAAGTGTCGTTCTGTTTCTGTTTGGTTTTCTTCTGGAGGATAAGAAGATAAATCATTAAATGTGGTAGGGACGCTTTGAGCGTCATTCTGTTTCTCTCAAGTTGTTGCCATTTGCCTGCTGTATGGTTTCTGTGTGTGTGTGTGTGTGTGTGTTTTTTTTTTCCCCAGAAGATCATCATATGATGGTTTCTTATCTTTTACTACTACTTTTGTACGTTGCTCTTTCATTTGAACGAGGTCGTGTTTGGTCCAAAACAAGGAGTTTAACCTCCATACCATAGATCTTATCTCTTCCTTAAATAAAATAAAATTTGCTTTAATCTCTGTCTCGAGATTAGTTCAAAGCTGGCCACATCTGTATGTATGATGGACTCAATTTTCTTTCCAACTTTTGACCACTATTTCTTCTCGATCAACGGCAGTAAATAATAATTAAAAAAAAAAAATTTACCGGACTAATACTCCGGTATATATCTAGAAAATGAATACTGCTCCATAAAGCAAGTAGAAGACAGAAAGGTTGCATGCATGGTGAGTTGTGAAATTGTGATTTCGAGGCAGGCAGTGGTCCAATCAAATGGGGATCCTATCGCTCGCATTGTCTGCCGCTCTCAGTTTCTCGCTACGGAACAAAAGAGTCTTACGTGCCATCCTTTTCATTCGTTGTCTGCCAAATATTTGTCTCTTAATAACAATAATAATAATCTACTAGTAATATCTTTGTCTTAGAAGATCCCACTCTTGTCAAAAACCCTTTTTTTTTTTTTGCCCGTTTATAATTAGTTCATGTGTCGTTGCAAACGCCCCCCGTAATCCTATTTGCGTTGTTTAATTAAAAATTAGGTTACTCACAAACCAATCAGTTTGAGATTACAAGTCGGCTCAATTTATAAAGTCGAGTCATTTTTTGATATAAAAACTGTGTTAACGAAGCAAATCTGTAAGGATTGTTATACATGATTTACGGTTCAGGAGAGGGGAAAAATAAAAATAAAAAAAAAAAGTCCGAGTTACGTAAATATACAATTGAAATATGCCAGCAAAAAAAAAAAAAAAAAAACTTTTGGAGGATGTAGCTAATTGTTGGGAAAATGGGAGGGGGCGCTGTTAATTGATCCATAAGGTTAGTCACCGGAGAACTTCATTCACTTTATGGCGCTAGCTGTAGGCAGTGCTTGTGGGGTTTGATCCTCTAAATTAGTCTGGAAAGGACAAATGTAATAATGAGTATTGAATTACATCACAGAGATAACCAAAACATTTGGAGGAGCTTAGAAGAAGATTTGGCTTGCATCTCATTTGCAGGCAAAATTTGTCATGACTTTGCAAAGGGAGCCCTCTAATGTGTAATCATCATCTTGAAGTTGAGCTGTAATAATAATACCCAAAGACAAGCTCAAAACCTCATCAACGGAGTGTGGGTTCAAAGTGAGCTACTTGTTTAATCCAATGCCACTCACGGATCATCTCATGCATGTGAAGACGGGAGCAGCCGTTTTCTCTATTTACCAAGTGCTACTACTATTGTACATCATCTTCTCCTTTTTTGACCTGAAAAAAAAAAATCAAGGACCTTGATTTTGATTCATATCCCTCTTAGTCACTATCCCACCAATTGAATTGAATTGGTAGCGGATTTCATCCCACCCCAAAAAAATTTTACATGCGCCACAACAATTTTTTTTTTTTAAAAATTTACGATGATTATTTCTATCCAATTGTATCTCGTTCTCTTGCGTACGTTCGAGAGCTTACTACTCCTCCGCATGACAGCATTTTTATGGACTCCATCACTTCACAGCCTAATTGGAAGCAAACGAGTAGATTCTAGTAGTTAGTTAATTAATTAATCTCAAAATGCAAGGTCGAACTTCATTAATTATCTTTCTTTCTTTAATGAATTTGGTGGTACCAGCAGCAGATAGTCATGGTGGCAGTAGCAAATACTACTATCATCATATGCTACTTTTAGTAACATATTCCCTGTCCTCCCTGAATGAATGAATATACCAAATGCAAAAGCAAAAGTTCAAAGGTAAAAATGTCAATGAAGAAGCGATGAGCTTCTCCGGACCGAGCTGACCTGACGAGCTCGGCGTGTTGACGAGGAGAACTAGTCCAACCCTGCAAAACAAACAGAAAGTAGTCTCTTGGGAGACTAACCGGGGAGCTCCGAGGTGGTCCCCGAGAGCACTCCGACGGTCAAGTTAATTTTCCGATGAGTGAAGTTCACGGGAAGTAAAGCAGTCGAGAGCAATTTGCCAATAGTGAGCGTACATTGTACAGTTGGTGTGCGTTGCCATTTATACCTACTAGAGAATCCGACCTCCGTACGCTTGGAGACTTTCCTAGCATAGCCCCAATCCCGCACTAAGGGGGATCCTCCCCGCCCTCAGCGGGATTGCTCCTTGGAGCCCTAGCGGCGATGTGCCCCAGGACGGTTGTCAGGGGCCTAGGGCCTAAGTCCAGCTTTGCCCCTGCTGGGCTTCCACGTGTCTAGGTCCAGGACAGGGCCTCTGCAGTCACGGTTATGAAGTACACTCTACTCTAGTGCGGGAAAGCTGATCATTGCATTTGCAGAGTACCGAAAGTTAAAACAATTTGCAATTGAATACTGATCTATATTATTAATGGGTTTGTTTGGATTGTGTTTTATTTGGAATATTTTTACTGTAGCACTTTTTGTGATGTGATGTGTGTGAGATAAAAAGGTAATTGGGAAGATAAAAAGGTGTATTAGAAATTGTAATGATGATGTAAGCAGATAAAATTGGGGAAATAAAACACAATCCAAAATAATCTGTGGTAGTACAAAATTGTTGGGAAGAACTCCTTTGTGTTGAGCAATTCATGAATAATGTACTAGGTTATATTCACTGATAACAAATAAGGACCACATTAAATAAGGACATTTTAGATAAATTAAAAGTTAATCATAATATTTTTCAGTTGGGAAGTAGATTATAAGTTGAGATATATGAAAGAGAAAAACAAATTTATCAAAATAAGATGGATGAACTAAATTTTTTTTTTTTTTTAAGCAAGGATAACCACCTTTGTATAACCTCCGACACATATGCAACGGAGGGCGGCATAATTAGAAATTTCCGATTCAAAGTTTCCCATTATCCTCTCTATTTCTTAAATTCTATCTTTTTTTTTTTTAAAAAAAAAGGTATAATGGTTGACGTGCACTCATTCCCCAAAAAAAAAAAAAAAAAACTTAACACCACGACGCACACACACAATAACACAAAGCCTCAAACATCTAGTGTATTTATTGACACGAACTCCTCCCACCGCCACACATCGGAATTAACTATTGGCCTTCAAAACATCTTTTAGCTTTCAGCTTTACGCGCCAAACATAACTATTCAAAATTTAGGTAGTAAGAAGTGCTCCTACCTCGTACACAACACACCAACAAACATTTCATTTGAACATATGATATGGCCAACAACATATTTCATCCAACATTTTTTTTTAGGTTGGGTTGAATGGAAACTCCAAATCTTATAATAATGAAAGGGGAAAGAGAAATGATTCAAGAGTCGAGCTGCGAAAATTCCAAGGTCACGTGATTAATATTTATACTTGGGGGTACAGCATAAAATTTCTCCAACGTATAGTATAGACCTAAAACGGTACTCGTACACATTTAAGAAGTTAGTAGTAGTAGCAGTGTGTTTGGATAGTGGGTTATTTGAGATATTTTTACTGTAGCACTTTTTGTGATGTGATGTATGTGAGATAAAAACGTAATTGAAAAGATAAAAAACTGTATTGAAAATTATAATGATGATATAAGTAAATATATTTGGGGAAATAACCCACTGTCCAAACACACTCACTAGTGTTACTGCAAACATCATCATTGGCCTCATTTTTACTATTGTTGATATTTGCATGAAAATTTTTATTTTTTTATGAATATATATTTTCAATTAATTTTTTTATCCCAAATACATTAAAATAGAAACTCTTGAAAACAAGTTCAAATGAGTTCTAAAATTTTCAATTTCTACTAAAACATGTTTTGTTATTGGCATGTTTTATTATATAGCTAGCTAGCTCCCTTTTGACTGCAATGCCATTTCATATTGAGAAGTAGATACTACTACTCACAAGCTAGGCCGCATGCACATATGATGGTAGTCCTAAAATCAGATCACACATCGTTCCAAAAAAAAAATCAGATCACATCTGTGGTTGACTCTGACGGCTGGGATTAATCCAATATAAACCCTAGAATTCTCCAGGGTGGCCGGACTAAATCACAAATTGCAAATTGCCACAACAGCCCAATCCAATCTCTAAACAAATTCCTGGCGCCCTTTTTTTCAGTTTTGGCGGGTGTACTGTTGCTTGGAAAAGCTTCGTCAGCCAGCCCCTTTTTCGTCTTTTCACTCTCCCGCGCGCCTAGGGTTTTCGTAAAGTCCCATATAACAACCCCCACTAAAATTTTCTAGATCGCCCACGAGCGCCCTTCCCTGTCGGTCTCTCTCTCCCCCTGTCTCTCTTCCCCCTCTCTCCTTTGCTCTTTTGCATGTTGGTTTTTTCTTTCAAGCTTAAGCCGAAAATTCCTCTTCCCTCCTTAAAACCCCCCTTTTCCCTCCCCAAAAATTTCCCTCTTCCTTAGTTTAAATGAGCTTTTGTCAGGGGTTGATAGTTAAATAGGTTCTTGCATTTCAGCCTCTTTCAAGCTAGAGTTGCTTCTTTCCCGGTCCCGGTCCTGGTTCGTTTTTTTACTAGGTTTGTTTTTTTTGATCGCGTTTTGCTGTGCTTTTTGGAGCGGTAGTACTAAGTTTGTGTGTTTTTTAAGTTGAATTAGTTTGTTTCCTGAGGTTGGATTTCTTCAGTTGAGCGATCAAGGTCGGTTTGTGATCTGACCGTAACGGTGGCTAATTTTTGCTCTTATAGTTAGTTGATCTGAGCATTTGATCTGGGCTTGTTTCAGATCTTACGATTAGGCCCTTGAAATGGTGGATCTGAGTGATAAAGTAAGTGATCACCTGCTCATCAGCTTGCCTTTCCCTTGAGTTGTTGATGTTTATTGTACTCCTTTCACGCACTTCATTGTGTATAAACCATCATGATGTCTGTGATCGTCGAGAATCAGCGTTTGTTTATGATTGATCCAAGGTTTTGATTTAAAAGCTGATTTCCAAAAAAAAAAAAAAAATTCCTTTTGGTGCGTTCAGGTTTCAGAATCTGAAGATATGAACAGCCAAACCCCAACCCCAGAGAGAGTCTCCTCCTCATCCGATGGCACTCAAATCAAGACCTGTACTGATTGTGGCACTACCAAAACTCCCCTCTGGAGAGGTGGTCCAGCTGGCCCCAAGGTCTCTCTCTCTCTCTCTCTCTCATGTGTGCCAATTTTTTATCCTTTTTTTTAATAAAAAATAAACCTTTAAGGCATCTGGGGCTTAGATGATGATTTTTTTGTCTATTAGTAGTTAGATAGAAATAAAATGAAGATGATCTGAAGGTGATTTGTGTTTGCTATTATTGCAGTCGCTGTGTAATGCATGTGGGATCAGGAGCAGGAAAAAGAGGAGAGCACTCCTGGGATTAAACAAAGAGGAAAAGAAACCAAAGAAGTCCACTAGCAGCAGCAGCAGCAACAACAACAATAGCAGTAGTACCAGTAATAATTATTCGAGCGGGAGTGGTGATAGTAATAGCTCAAGTGGGTTTTCGTTGAAGAGGAAGCTATTGTCTTTCGGCCGAGATGTTGTTGTTCCCTTGCAGAGACCAAGATCAAGTACAAATGGTCAGAGGAGGAAGCTAGGAGAGGTTGAGCAAGCAGCCTTTCTGTTGATGGCTTTATCATGTGGCTCGGTTTATGCTTGAGAGCAAGAGTTTCCCCGTAGCACTACTAGTTCAAAATTTAGCTGTAACGGTTTCTTCGTTATCTTTTTACTACTACTTACTACTCTAGTAGAGGGATGCATGAGCAAGATTGAGCTAAAAGAGCTACTTGTCGTGATGTGTAATCTCCGAGAATGGCAGAGTCGATTTTTTCTTTTTTCTTTTTTTTTGGGGGTAATGATGAAAATCCTGATCCGGTCCAGTTCTCTCACTTTGGGCTAAACTTGCTTGCCGGTTTTTCTTGGTTCTGTGAAAAAATCAGAGGAGGATTGATTGATCTGAGAGACAAAAACAGACGATCGATCTTACCATCGTAGGTTTGTCCAAGATTTCGTTCCCTATTTAACTAACTAAAGGGATCTAACGTGAGCTTGTATCAGTAGAGGTTCCCTTGCTGATTCTTGATTTGGATCCATTGCAGCAGAATTTTTTTTTTTTGTTTTATAATTTTGATTAGATTTGGAGTGCTGCCAACCAAGTACACTACTGGTTAATAGTTTGTAGAATAGAATATGATGGCCAAGGAGTGAAAATCCTGTACAGTACAGCGTATACTATTAGTAAAATCAAATGATGGTAATTGACGAGTCGAGCTAATGAGAGAAGGAAGAATCTTGCTCATGATTGACGGACGGTTGGTGCAGGCCTCAACGTCATTTTCGCTACGACTCTATTGTAATTTCAATAGGATGCTGTTTGCGGCGGCGGCCTATTTGGATACTACTACTCTATAGAGGCAACAGACTCAAAATTTTTCGAGGGTGGCTTGGAAAGGATTTGACGATTCATAGCGGGGTTAATTTCATTTTTTTCTCCTAAATTTTGAACGATTATTCACCTCAGTTTTTAAATTTTAAAATGGGATACTTAAGTCCCTAAATCTATAAATGCCTCACTTAAGTTTTTAAACTTATTAAATATGACGTTTAAATCTCTAAATTCTTATAAAATGGGACATTTTGATCACCAACGGCATTCAAGATTTATTAACAATTTTTTTTAAGTTGGAGATATTTATAAGTTTAGGGACTTAAGTGTTTTATTTTAAAGTTTAGGGACTGAAGTGGATAATCCTTCATCCAAAGTTTGGGAGAGTAAAGTGGTATTAACCCTTCGTATAGTGATGATGCTCCCCTCAAAATTCTTTCATGACAGCTCTCAATTTTGTACTTTTATTTTGTACTACTACTACTACTACTACTATAATCTAAAAATCGTTCATATGGCTTATTCCGAAAAGTAAAAGTTGTCAAATGGGTTAAAAAGGTGTTTTTTTTTTTTTTGTTTTTAACAAAGGGGTGAAAGTTGATTGCCATCATATACTTTACCAAGGCCTCCAATTATTAGTTTGATATGTTACTTTTGACCCTTTTAGTTGCTAGTTTTAGGTTGCTAACTGACTTGACCCCTTTCAATTTTGACCAACTTCCACACTTGGCAAGCCAGAGAGTCTTGTTGCAGAGGTCCTTTTATTTTTTTTGGAATTAATTGAGAAATAATACTTGTATAATTTTGTTCTAAGACAGAACGTCCCCCTTAAATTGAGTAATCTATACTCGGTAATTCCCTTCAGTGACAACAAAAAAAAAAAAAAAAAAAGGTGGGACGTGATTAAAACTCCAATTAGCACCCTATGTTCATAACTCACTGCGTGGCGATTCTCAAATGCCAACCACCAATTTTAAAGCTATACGTTGGTGAAAATGTTAGTAGTACGTCATCTATATAGATACCTTAATTGAGCAAGGCATCCTAGAACTGGCTAATTCCAAGAGGAAGAGCGAACGAGTTTTGGAACTTTTATTATTATATTGAATATAGTCGTCCCCGACAACTAGTATTTGAACCGAAGTAAAATGTCCGCTTACCAAAGAATACGACTAACATCTTATTAATTCACCTTATTAGTAGTGGAGTAGTACTATATTTTACTAGAGGTGGCAAATCAACCCACTTAACTAGATTTACCCATACCCGTCCATGAATAGATGGGTATGGGTATCTTAAATTTTTGTATATGGGTATAAATGGGTTACCCAATAATACCCATTTAATAAATGGGTATTATTGGGTAACCCATCAAACTCAATTAACCCATTTAAAATTCTTTTCCCCCCAAGTCTCTTCTTTTCCCCTACCTTTTTTTTTTTCAAATTTTTCATTTTGTCATGATGTTAACATTATTATTATTATTATTATTATTATTATTATTTGTTGGTTTTATCTTATTATTTTATTTTTTCTTAGTTTGTTAACTTGCTCATTTTTTAGCATTACCAATTTATGATAAATTTTAGCCTATTTTCTTATCTTTATAAAATCAAATTTTAAATTTATATATGAAAAAAATGTTAGGGGTTCAAAATTTTTGGATTAAGTTTTTATATTAATTTTTATAGTACTTAATTCAAATTTTTATATTCGTATGATTCAATTATTAAATAATAGGTAATTTTGTGACATAGAGTATAAATGAAAAAAATTGGTAATTAAGTTTATTGAACATTATAAGTAAATATTTAAAACTAATGATGGATACAAAGAGTGGTATAAATTGATAACTTAGTTTGCAAAAATGAATTTAAATGAGTTTGCAAAAAGTTAAAATAAATGAGTTATAAATGGGTAATTGGGTTACCCAATTCATTTTTTGACTTACCTATATATACCCATCTAATTAAATGGGTATAAATGAGTTGACTCACTTAAACCCATTACCCATTTTACCCAACTCAAACCCGCCCAAGTCACCCATTTTGACACCTCTATATTTTACCCTCCCTGTCGTCGTTGTTTTATTATTTTTTGAAATACAGGATGCCCTGTGTAGTGGGGTCAATCCGTCAAAGCCACATGTCAGTTCGGACATGTAAAATGGCAATTCGCGCAATCCAGCTCGGTCCCTCTCAAGGGCCAACTCGGACAAGATTGCCACCTCCCAGCTGGATGGGCTGACTAGGCCGAGGATTCCTAACCGGAACCAGCAGGAAGAGGAATCCATCTCTAGTAGGGCTCATAATTCTATAAGAAAACTACTCCCTCCCTTTTTTTATAACTGACGTTTAAGAAATTTGCTCCAGTGTATTTTTATCTGTCGTTTTATTTTCCCCATGCAGTATTAATTATTTTTTCACAATTTTACCCTTTTATCTCTCTTTTCCAATACATGGTTCTTAATTACTACTCCTAGTAATTATTGCTTCTCTCCTAGTAATTGGACAATTAATGAGGGTGCAAAAGGAAAGTAGTGTACAGATTTAGGCAATGGAAAACTTTTCTTAATTGGTGTGCAAAACCTTAAACGTCAGTTATAAAAAAAGGGAGGGAGTACTACCCAGAACCCTATGAATATAGCACCACAAGGCAAGACAAGGTACGCCATCTACAGTAATCATTGCCTTTGATCCATTCATAGACATAACTAACTTGACCGTCGGAGTCACAACGGAGAACTAGTCCCGTTGTTCATTCTCTTGCAGGTCAGCTTGTGCCACCTTGCTAGTACCAGTTCGCTCGTCCACAATTCGCTCAGCTCGCTGCCACTTAGTTCGGATCGTGCTCTCGGCTATCGCATCACCCTGCTTTTAAATGCAATCATTTCTCGTACTCTTGATGCCTTTTTCATATTATTTAAAAAAAAAAAACTTATCATCATACGAAATGATGTGATAATGTAAACCTTATTGTAGGAGGCAGGCATGCAAATTTTTTTGTACTCTTAATGTAAGTCCACAAGTTGAATAATGGTCTTAGAATAGGGGGGTGGGAAACGAACTGTTACAGCCCTGTTCAATGAATGGTGCAGATTAATTATTTTAGAGGCCCAAATAGTGGAATAAACGGTGTAGACAGAAAGGAGCCGTGTTTGAGTTTGGACTTCAAACTTGTGGACTTCATTGAAATTCAACTCTCTAGGCCCAGTTTCACTACAGGGCCATGGATATTGTCCATTTGCTACTTTTCGAGTTTTCAGTCGTCCGAAGTTGAACAAATCACTCGTGTGAAGCAGCCATTCCACAAGAAATCAAACGAAAGCGAATTGGACGTGGCCGCCGGCCTATCTCTTAGAGCAGCAATTCTGGCGCGCTATCATACGACAGCAAGCATTTCCGATACTGCTGCTCCTGCGTCAAATGCATGCATTTCCATTGCACGTTTTCCTCTTATCACTTCTGCGTGATGTGATCGCAAAAGAATACACGCTATTCAGGTCAAAGGGTGACGTGCGTGCCTTTTGTCACTCTTTTATTTGATCGTCAAATTAAAAATTTTGATAAATATCAGCTCCTCTTGAATACTGATGAACATTGGACTTGCAGGAAGAATGAAAAATTACTTCGAAACTTGAAATTGTACGTGAAAATTTTGAGAATTCCTAGTGTGCCATTCATTACGGCTGCACATTCACGTTCGCCATGTTGTCCTATATATATATATATATATATATATATATATATATATACAAGTACAGTTTGTATTTCTTTTTAACCAAAGCCAACGACTTTTTGGTATAGAATACTAACCCGAATTCCGTGAGAATCCCAAAAGCCGGTAACTCTTGAGGTCTCACAGGAAACTAATATACTACACCCCAAACCCCCCAAGTACAGTTTGTATTTCTAGGACTGCCCATTATCCTATAGTTTTGGACCCACCGCACGACAGCATTACATGCCCTCCAGCTATTCTCTACAAACAATCAAAAACCCTCTGGTCCCTCCCACCCTCACGCCCACCTCCTCCCCACTCCCCTCCCCTTCCCGCGCCCACTGCTTACCTACTTGCCGTCACAATATCACCTTCTTCACGTGTGTATGCAAAACCTAACCACCGAACTTTTAACTCGGTATCCATCAAAAAAATTAAGTCACTCTTTGAGTTGCAATAGGTTAAAGTAGGGATGCAATGGAGCCAAGTCGAACTCGAGCTCGAGTATAATTCGAGTATCATTATACTTGAGCTCGACTCGACTCTATGTATCTAGACTCGAGCTCGATCAAGTCCAAAAAATCGTAACTCGAGACTCGACTGGAAAAACTCCCTTTAAATTCGAAACTTGATTCGATAAAGTCGAGTCTAATCAAGCTTTTTGACTCGACTCGAAAAAGCTACTGAACCTTATTTTCTTCCCTTTTGCTAGACATTTTTTCTTTTTAGGTCTTTTTACAGTTATGTTATTACTTTTTTGCCATTATGAAATTTTATTATAAAGAAGAGTATATT